GTTAATTGAGTTCATGATCTTCAAGAAAAGAGCTTCAAAAAGTACGTTTTTTCACCAACAAACACACTACAATCACCGTACAAAATTAGAACTTGTTACAATAAAACTAGTTTTTGATTAGTTGGCAGAGTTTATTGTGAATATCTATCAGAAAAAAATCTATTTATCTGAAGTGAGTTCTCAGAGACATTTTACTGGATTCGACGTCAATCAAAGAGATAATTTATTCATCTCGCATGAAGTGAGAACGAGTCAATGAGCTTCAAGCATAGAGCTTCAAAAAGTGCGCTTTTTCACCAAGAAAAACTTTCTAATCACCGTACAAAATTAGAACTTGACACTACTGGTTTAAACGTCAATCAAAGAGATAATTTATTCATCTCGCATGAAGTTAGAACGAGTTTATGATCTTCAAGCAAAGAGCTTCAAAAAGTACGTTTTTTCACCAAGAAAAACTTTACAATCACCGTACAAAATTAGAAATCAGAAAAAATTTTATTTATCTGAAGTTAGTTCTCCAACATTTTACTAGATTCGACGTCAATCAGAGATAATTTATTCATCTCGCATGAAGTTTGAACGAGTTCGTGAGCTTCAAAGAAAGAGCGCCAAAAGTGTGTTTGTTTGATAAGTTTGCAGAGTTTATTATAGTTACTATGAATATCTATCAGGGGAAAAAATGTATTTAATATTTGAAGTGAGTCCTGCACATTTCACTGGATTTGACGTCAATCAAAGACTAACTAATTACTGGTAATGAAAGAAAACATAAATGGAAAAAAGGGGAGGAAAAAAAAGGAAAAAAATCATTTTTACCTTGCATGCACTTAGTTCTTCACATGTCACTATGTAAAAACAAAATGAAACGTTGGCTAAATATAAAATAAATCTTCAAAAAAAAAAAAAAAAATTTATATACTTACAAATAATTTTTCCTCTGCTCTTATTAAAGTCTTTATTGCTAAAAGTAAATACAAAAGACATGAATTTCTAAATGACATTCACTTTCTGAATTCATAAATGTTTGTTTTTCTAGGGGGAAGGGGAGGGGGGACTCACGTGAGTGCTTTTTCGAGTCGACCACCATTTTCTCCTATGATAGACCCAAGTGTACATTCTGCTGAACCAATAAAATCCTACAAGAAGGTAAAAAACATTTATAAGTAGATAGTTAATATTTAATAATAAAGCATTAACCTAATCAAACATTTATTTTACTTTTTGTTAAATAATACAATATTTATAATATAATATTATCTATTGTTATCAACATCATGCATCACTCATCATCATCGAATCACCATCATGCATCATCATCATCCCCATCATCACCATCATCATCATCATCATCATAGTCACCATCATCACCAATCATGATCATCACAATCCTTATCATCACCATAAATCATTATCATTATATATCATGCATCATCATTGTTATCTTAGTAATACTCAACATGATCTTCAAGGCGAGTAGATTTTTTGTCCACATCATATCTAGGAATGAAATGACACTTTGTTAGAAGCCAAAGCAATAATTGCACTCCATGTTCATAAATGGAATGAAAAATGGGAAATTCACATTTCATATAATTTGGCAAAGAAAATAGTATTAAGAATGAAAATGAAACAGAAACAAAAAGAAAAGAAATAGAAAGAAACAAAAAATGGAAAAATCAATAACAGCTTACACTTCAAATTTCAGTTTTTGGACTTCTTCGAAAAAGTAGTGAATCACAAACGTTTTGACAAAATCTGGATTCAAGTTGTCCATAATGTATTCTGTCCTACCAAACTAAACAACAAGGAAAAAGACAAAGGGATAAACAACATTTCTATGGGAAGGTTGATTTCTATTGGGGGAGGGCTGGTAGATTGTAGGGCCCCCTTTCGCTATCAGTCTATTCAGTCAACAACGAAACAGCTTTTATCAAAAATAAAAAGGTTTGACCCTTTTTATTGATGGCCCATGTGTACTGCTTCTTAAACCCCAGCCCTTCCCCC